CTCCTCACACACTGAGGGACCCTCTTAAAAACAGTGTCACCAGCCAGACGTGGTGGCGCACACCTTCAGTCCCAACACTTGAGAGACAGAGGCAGGTGGATCACTGTGAGACTGAGGCCAGCCTGGTCTACACAGTGAGATCTAGGCCAGCTGTGGCTACAGGGGGTCCTGTTTCAAACAAAAGAACAGCATCACTAGGGCTGGAGAGACAGCTGCAGCTCAGAAGTTAAGCGTGCTGGCTGGTTTTGCAGAGGACCTGAGTTGGGTTCCCAACACCAATGTCAGGCAACTCACTCTGCCTGTGACTCTAGTTCCAGGGGCTCTGACGCCATCTTCTAGCCTCTGTTGACACCTGCACATATGTGCACATACAGAGAATGAATCTTAGCTGAGTATGGTGGTACACACCTTTAATCCCAGCACTTGGGAAGCAGAAGCAGGTAGAGCTCTTAAGATCAAGGCCAGCCTGGTCTACATAGTAAATTCCAGGCCAGTTGGGGCTACAGAGAGACCTTGTCTCAACAACAACAACAAAAAAACCCAGAAAGAATTTCTCCAGAGCATGGAGCAGTGACTCCCTGGTTCCTGGCTCCTTGAATGGTGTTGCGTTTCCCATTGCTGTGATAAAATGCTATGACAAAGCACCCTAAAAGAGAAAGGGTTTATTCAGACTCATAGCTGAGGGTAAGGTCTATCACAGCAGGGAAGTCAAGGTGACAGGAGCTTGAAGCAGCTGGTCACATCACACTCACACACAGGAAGCACAGAGTGGTGAACACAGGCTGCTGCTCAGCTCCCTTTCTCCACCTACACAGTCCAGGACTGCAGCCAGGGAACAGCATCACCCACAGTGGGTGGGTCTTCCTTCAATTAATGTAATCAAGATAATGCCCCACAGGCAGGACAGAGGCCCAGCAGGTGGTTCCAGATTCTGTCAAGTTGACAGTCAACACTGACCATCAGATGAGTTAGGATTCGGGCTGGCTACATGTGATAGAAGAACCTCAGCATTGGCAGGGGCCTGGAGGTCGCAGGCCCTATCTTTCTCCTTTTCTGAGACTGGAAATCAGCAGATGTTCTCTGGGGCTTCACAGTGAGGGACACAGGTTGGCAGCAGAGTCACACTCCCTCCCAAGGGGCTAGAAGAGGGCCCCTGCCTGTCCTGGATCCTGATGGTGGCTGGCCATCTGTGGTGCTCCATGGAGTGTGACTAAACCTCTCTGGCCTCCGTCTTTCACTTTCCTTTCCCCACGTACCTGCACTGTGTCCTGTCCTCCTAAGGACATCAGTCTGTGGACTTGGGGCCCACCCTTACTGGTAGACCTCATCTTTCCCGTCTGCCATGACAGCTGCATGGATCCAGTTTCTGAAAAAAGCCACACTCTGACTTTGAGGCAGGCCTGGCACTCAGGGACGCTGCTCACCTCATTACATGTGCCCAGTAGGAGAATGAGAATGTTTCAGAGTGGTGGCCTCTCTGCTGCCTTTGGACCTCCCAGGCTTTGCAGAGAAGTGGGGCTCACAGCGTTACTTATGACCCGGGTAACTGCTGGCAGCAGGCCAATCTGTGAGTTGCGTGTCCCAGGGAACCTCTTTTGACAAGGGACAGATTCCCTGTCCATTGTGGATGGGGGGCGGGGCCTGGAAGAGGCCACCAAGGTTCTCCTGCCAACCAAAGTGTGGCTCAGATTTGTTTGTCGTGGGTGAACACTGTCCACTTCAGCAGACTTTGAAGGTGCCTGAAGGAGTGTCTGAAGTGAAGTTAGAGCCCACCTCGCCGGCCTGGGAGGAGATGTGAGGTTGGGTGTTCTTTCCCAGGCTCATCAACTAGCCTGCTTTAGGTTACAGGTGACAGAACTTTCCACCCTAGTTGAGCTTCATCCTGGTCTGTTGCTGTTGGGTCTTGGGTCACAGGTGATGCGACCTAGTGTCTGGGTTTCTTGGACTCTGGCGCTGCACGTTGTGTGCAGGCTCTTTCTCAAGTTGTGCTGCTGAGACGCCAGTGCTGGGCAGCTTCCCCCTTAGCTACAGCCCACAGTCACCTTGGGACTCAGTCCTAGAGACCCCGGCTTTGGGATGTTGGTGCTCATTGCATGGCGTGTGCGTTGCAAGCCTATTTCTGTCGTGGGATGGGCCATACTGGTGACAGGAGCCGATCAGGGACTTCCCTGGAGCTTGGAATGGTTTCTGTCGCTCCCCTCCCTACCCATGCTGAAACTGGGTACATGGAGGAGACTGAGGTATGTCCCACAGGTGGAGGTGAGTGGCTCTGGGGCTCTGGTAGGTCAGCGCCTTGCTCTCGTGATGGAAACAAAGTGAATGGTGCCAGGGCCTGCCCTTGACCGCGTAGGCGTGACCAGATCCTCGGAACATTCCTGTCCCTCGAGACTCAGGTTGGGGTAATACAGTAATCTAGAAAATGTTGCCACATATGCATTCTACAGAGTCTGTTCATCCTTGGATGTGATCTCTGTGAGAGTATTTTCTAGAGCTCTACCGTGGTCTTGCTTCCTGGGATGACAGGAGCCTGGTATTCTTGTGGAATTCAGCTGGGAACTCAGGGTCCTGGGGTGCCCTGCTTGCAGGGCTGCTGCATCCAGTGGGAGCCAGGGCGAAGCAGTGGTGCCTCCACCCATGGCTTCAGAGCAGGGTGGCAGCAGTTATGGGGTGTGGATGTGAGGGGACAGCCAGAGCCCCTGCCCAGCCGTTAACTGGTGAAACCCTGCTTGCTTCCACCAGCCTCCTCCCCTGAATTTGTTCTCCTGTCGCCCCTCAGCCTTGACTCTACTACTGAATTCACTCATTTCTTGTCTTTGTCTGTCCCCTCCTCAGTGGGTGCTCCAGGCATAGGCATTGGCTCAATATGGTTGAGTTCATAGAGGCACATTTAGAGGAGGGGGAGAGGAGGTGGGAGGGGGAGAGGATGAGGGAGGGGGGCAGGGGAGCACAGTGAGGATCTGAATGAATGAACTCCTAATTTCTGACTGGAGCACTCTGAGTCAGTATCTCCACGGTCAGCAGCAGGTTAGCATTTTGAGGATGTGACCCCCCATGGTGAGGCAAGGCTCACGTCCCATCAGGGATTAAGCAGGCACATGTCCCACAGGACAAGTGGCTGGGCCTGGAATTGTCCCTACGTGGCAGGGGAGAACGCCCTGTGTCTTGCAACGAAAGGCACCTCAGGCCAGGCTTGTGAGGACGTGGCTCTGGCCAGGGATCCTCCCAGCCTGGAGTTTGGGGTGCCATGACTGTCCTGTGGTAATCTCAGGTGGATTTTGTCAGTTTCAGCTGCTTGTTTTTAGACAAGACAGACCTATGTTGGGCAGAGCCAAGAGCAGTGGCAGCCATGGACTAATGGCTGATGATGACTTCAGATCTTTCCATGGTAGACCAGAGCTCCCCACTAATCTGACCCGGTAGTTTTAAGTCTTCTCTGTGTCCTATTTTCCAGAGACAGGGATGGCCTGCCAGCCCTGGTCCTTATGGTGTGGGAGTGCGAGCTCTCGCTCCTTGACACAGGGTCAGGCTTGTAACTCATGCTCTGCAGCGGCAATCTGTCTGGATAGAGGTGAGCATTGTGGAATTGATGCTTTCACATACCACGTGAGCACATGCAGCCACTTTAGCCTCCCATGCTGCCTTAATCAGTGACCACGGTGTAGAAGCCGAAAATGGTAGAACAGCTCACAGTTCCAGAGCCTGAGAATGCCAAACCCAAGGTATCACCAGGACCATGTGGCCTTGAAGGCTCTGGAGGGGCGTCCTGCCCACCTCTCCCAGCTCCTGGGGATCCCATGGTCCTATGTCCCATGGTCTTGCCCCTCCCCTCTGCCTCTGCCTCATCTTTTCATGACCTGTCCTCTGACAGGCTCTCCTTGTATGGTGATGCTGATCGTGAAGGATATCCCACTTCCTGGGTAGCCTTGACACTTTGCAAAGAAAGACACATTCTGAGGTCCCAGGGAGGACACGGGATTGGGGACACACTCTTCATCCATTCTTTCCTTATAGTTGGCTTTACATGCGGAGATGAGGATGCTCTGGGGCTAGTTTCATCTGCAAACCTCTCTCAGTGTGGTTCCTGGTGATTCCCTGCTGTCAGACGGGCCTGCCATGCTTAGCTCTGCCCCTGTCTGATATAGTGCCCCAGGGAAGACTGGATATGATGACTAGAGTAAGCAAGGGTGTAAGTTGCAGCTCCGTAACACTAGGGGCCCCCACACCTGCAGAGGGGGCCCCTGGAGGCCAAGCAGAGGTCAGGTGGCTGGTCATTCTGTGACGGGTCTCAGAGGGATGTCAGAGCGGGACATTTCAATCAGTTGCATATGAGACAGTTAATGTATGGGGAGGGTGTGGCTGCCCGGGGAGGGACACACAGGGAGAAGAGGTCTGAGCATAGGGAACTACAGCCCTCAGTGGCCTCCAGAGCAGGGGCGCTGCAGAGAGGAAGGAGTTCATGAGGTGGGGACCAGGTTCCAGTGTCATGTACTGGCCAAGCAACGCTGTGGGCACAGACAGTTGCCCGGTGACCTGGGAGCCAGGAGCAACAGCTACCTTAGTCAGGGCTGTTTTGGTGTAGAGTAGAATCTGGCCAGGCAGGAGAGGATCAGTGTGTGAGTGGAAGACAGGAGCCTGGAGTTGGAGTAGCCATCTCTGGAAGAGTCTTAAGTTTGAGAGGAAGCAGGGTAGGCCGGGGGCTGCCGGGCTAAGGAGCTGGCAGGCTGGTGGTCTGGGGGTGTTAGGCCTTTATGTGCTTCATTAAGGTGGGGAGGCATGAGCAGGGCTGAGTTCCAGTGGCAAGTGTCAGGTAACCGGAGATCCTTGGACCTAGAGCCCTGTGCTGCCTGTGTTCAGGAGACTAGAGGGGAGCAGGTTCTAGACTATAGACTCTGGCTGCCCTGTATCCTGATCCTTTGTACCCAGTTCAGTGGGCCTAGCCCTAGCCTCCAGGCTGCTCTGGTCCCAGGCCCATGCCTGACAGCCTGTTCTTTCTTTTCCAGATGGATGAAATCAAAGGGAAAGAAAGGGTGATCCTGGCCCTGGAGAAGGAGCTGGGTGTGCAGGCCGGCCAGACCCAGCGGCTGCTGCTGCAGAAGGAGGCTCTGGACGAACAGCTGGTCCAGGTCAAGGAGGCTGAGCGCCACCACGGCAGTCCAAAGAGGGAGCTCCCTCCTGGCATTGGTGACATGGCAGAGCTCATGGGTGGCCAGGTGAGGGGCGGTGGTTCCTGGCAGCCCCAGAGCCTCAGGGTGGGCGACTTGCTGTGGCCTTCCTCTGTTGGCCGCTGTCCTACTCAGCTTGCCAGCCTTTCTCTGGCCTGCTCCATCTCTCATGCTCTCCTCCTTTCTCCCTTTCCCTCTGTCTTAATCCCTTCTTCCCAACTTTACTGACATCCAGTGCGTGCCAGGGCCAGAGCTTGACACTGAGAATGTGGAGGTGAAAACTGGCTGCCTGGGCCTGGAGATTTCAGACCAAGGTGCACAGCTGGAGCCCTGCATGCAGGAGGGATCCAGGAAAGCGGGGAGTGGCCAAGGCAGAGGCCGGGAGACCAGCTGGGGCTTCCTCAGGGGCCAGCAGCAAGTACCAGGGAAGAAGTGTGTGTGGGCAACCACCTGACCCTTAGTGAAAGCAGATCAAAGTAGTTGTCTGTCCATTCATCCATCCGTCCATTTGTCTGTCCTTCCATCCATTCATCTGTCCATCCATCCATCCACTCATCTGTCCTTCCGTCTATCTGTCCACTCATCTGTCCTTTCATCCATCCATCTGTCTGTCCATCTGTCCATCCATCCACTCTTCTCTCCTTCCATCCATTCATCTGTCTACTCGTCTGTCCTTCCATTCATCCATCTGTCCATCCATCCATCCATCCACCTGTCTGTCCTTCCATCCATCTGTCTGTCCATCCATCCATCTTTCCATCCATCTGTCTGGCCATCCATCCATCCATTCATCCATCTATCCTCCGTCCATCCATCCATCCATCCGTCCATCCATCCATCCACTCGTCTGTCCTTCCATCCATCCATCTGTCTCTCCATCCGTCCATCTTTCCATCCATCTGTCCGGCCATCCATCAATGCATCCATCCATGTCTGGATTTTTTTTAAGTATTTTATTATTTTTATTTTATAAGTGTTTTGTCTGCATGTATGTGAGTGCACCTGTGTCATGCAGTGCTGCAGACATAAGAAGAGAGCTTTGGATTCCCCTGGAACTGGAGTTAAGGACGGTTTGTAGCTGCCATGTGGGTGCTGGGAATCAAACCCGGGTCCTCTGCAAGAACAGTCAGTGCTCTTAACCGCTGAGCCATCTCTCCAGCCCTCTCACATCTGGATTTAAAAAATTTTTATTATGCGTTATCTCAAATTACCACTGTACAGATGGAAATGAAGACTTTATGTAGTTTTTATATGTTGTAACATTTCTTCAAATAAAGCTCTTCTGTAAAGAAAAAAAAAAAAAAAATCCCCACCAGCACCACCACCAAAAAGCTGTTCTTTTAGGTAGTGTGATTATGGACACTTTTTTTTTTTTTTTGGTCTTTTTGAGACAGAGTCTCCTTGAGCCCCAGCTGTCCTGGAACTCACTATGTAGACCAGGCTGGCCTCGAACTCACAGAGATCCACCTGCCTCTACCTCCCAAGTGCTGGGATTAAAGGCGTGCGTGCCACCACATGCCCCCCCCGTGCCGCAATTATGGATAATTTTAATTTTTCTTTATTTACTTGGCATAAAAGTTGACACATTTCTATTTATTTTTTTTTTTTTTGGTATTTTTTGAGGCAGGGTCTTCCTGCAGCCACAGCCATCCCTCCCTCCTTCTCCTCACTGAGTGTCATGAACACCATATTGGATATTACATTGGGTGCTAGCATTTCAGAGTTGAGCAAGACAGTGCTCTGAAAGAATGTACACGCATATTCTTGGAACAAGTGACCTGTGGGGGGTGGGTCTTTGTAAGAGATGCAGGGTGGGCAGGGATTTTGGCTTTCCTGGGCCAGGTGTTTGGAACCCACTGAAGTATTTAAGGTCTCAGGCACATTGGAGATAAAGTGTCCCCATGAATATGTAGCTATGGCTGTCTTCTGCACACCTCAAGGTCCTACAGACAGTACTGTCCCCTCTGTCTGGGTGGGGGCTCCACCGGCTCTGAGGAGCTCTTGGAATCATTTGAGCGTCTTCAAAGTGCATTGTATCTTGACTTTTTTTTTTTTTTTTTTTTTAAGGATCAACATATGGATGAGCGCGATGTGAGGCGATTTCAACTAAAAATTGCTGAATTGAATTCAGTGATTCGGAAGCTGGAGGACAGAAATACCCTCCTGGCAGACGAGAGGAATGAACTGGTAACCAGCCCAACATAGATGGTCTCTGCAAGATACGAGGAAGGGGCTGGGGACCAGAAAACCTCACACAGAAAGGGACCGGGAGACCTCCTGGATGCTTTGCTTTCTTTCTCGGTTATTGAAAAAGAAATCTGAAGCATCACATTGAGGAACTTTCTTCCATTTGTCAGTACAGGAATTTATCCCCAGAAAACAGTTGGAGAGGCTGAGGGAGATTCTGGAGAGCTGGAGAGGATGCTTGCCACAGGGTTGTTTATAATAGTAATAGCAACAGAAAACAACAAGCTCGGTTGTTCCATACTAGAGCATCCCTCAGAGGACCCCGGGAACCCCACAAATTCACTCTGCAGTCACTGTGACCAGATTTAGCTGATGGAAACTCGATGCCAGTAAATCACTTGATGAAAGTAGTTTACACAGCAAGCAGCAAGCACAGTCAGAGTTGGGTACTAAAAACTGTTCTTTTAGGGGGTGTGATTATGGATAATTTAAATTTTTATTTACTTGGCATAAAAGTTCACAGATTTCTATTTGTTTATTTATTTATTTTTGGTCTTTTTGAGGCAGGGTCTCCCTGTAGCTGCAGCTGGCCTGGAACTCACTATGTAGACCAGGGTGGCCATGAACTCACAGAAATCCACCTGCCTTTGCCTCCCAAGTGCTGGGATCAAAGGCGTGCGCCACCATGCCTGGCTACATTTCTATTTTTAAAAATAATGAACATGAAACCAGGCGTGGTGGCACACACCTTTAATCCCAGTATTTGGGAGGCAGGCCAATCTCTGTGAGATCAGGGTCAGCCTGGTCAGCACAAGTTCCAGACTCACTGAGGTTATTTAGCGAGTTGGTAGAGTGCTTGCCCAGCATGCATGAAGCCCTGGGCACCATCCCCAGAACCCTGTAAACCAGTTATAATCCCAGCCTTCAATCCAAAGCACGAGAGGTAGAAGCAGGAGATTCAGATGTTCAAGATCATCCTTAGCCACATACTGAGTTTGAGTCCAGACTGGGCTATCTGAGACTGACACTGCCTCAAAAAAAAAAATAATAATGCACTTAGAATTTAATATAAATCTCCAGTAAAAATAGCATTTGCAAGATTATGCTTAAATTTGCTAGATAAACAGCTCAACTAATTTTATTTTATTTTTTTACTTTCTTAATATTTTATTTTTTATTTATTATTTTTATTTATTATTTTAATTTTATGTGTATGAGTGTATTGCCTGCATGTCTGTGAGTGCACCCATGTCGTGCAATGCCGCGGAGGTCAGAAGAGGGTTTCAGATTCCTCTGGAACTGGAGTTAAGGACGGTTTGTAGCTGCCATGTGGGTGCTGGGAATCGAACCCGGGTCCTCTTGCAAGAGCAGTCAGTGCTCTTACCCGCTGAGCCATCTCTCCAGCCCCTTTATTTTTTTACTTTTTAAGAAATTTTTATTACATTTACTTACTGTGTGCATGTGCACACATAGAGGTCAGAGGGCAACGTTCGGGAGTCAGTGCTTTTCCACTGTGTGCTTCTAGGGACTAAACTTGGGTCTTCGGGCTTGGTGGCAAAGCCCCTTTGCCACCTCAGTCATTTCGCTGACCCCAGCTACCCCGATTTTAGTAGTTGATGAATAAACCTTTTGAAAAATGCCTCATAATTGTATAATAATTTTATTATGAATGGAGTGTATCTGCACAACTTTAGCAGAATTAAAATTAATGGATTTCTAGTGTACTTAAAGGCATGTTTTATACGGCCGTTTATCAACCATGTTTCTACTTTCATTAAATATTCATGAGCTGAATAAATACTCATGAGCTGCATGGTAATTTACGAGTGGGCTAGGAAACACACAGGCAGCTGAAACAAGTTCAGGCTTGAAATGATTCGGTGGCCTGCACTTGAATTCGAGGTGCAGAGGTACCTTCTCCCAGTCTGGACCAACAGGCTTTTGACACTTACGCACCAACACCCAGCAACAGGCAGTTTGGTTTGGTTTAAGGGTTGCAGGGTAGGAATTTTTTGAGCTGCAACATGGCTTTTGTCCTCAGACTTATCAGGACAGCCTCCCTGTGGATTGGAAGGGATTTGTCTTTTCCTTAGCTGTCTGGAGCCCCACTGTGGGGGGCAGCATGGTTTGTCAGCCAGCCCCTCCTGGTGGCCATGCCTAGAAGCTCCGTGTCTGTCTTTACCTTGCTGTCTTTGTGGGTCTAGACCCTCTGTTTCTGGAGAGTAAATCTCCGGAAGTGGCTCACAGGTCACACAGTGCCCTCATGGTCTGACAAGCACCACAGTTATGCTTAGCTTTCCCCAGCAGGGACTGCAGGTGGGTCCTCGGGGTCAGCTGGTTCTAGCACTATGGGTGTGGCCTTGGTCACAGGACCAGCTCCCTGCTCAGGTTCCGGTGTACAGCATGGTGGGTCTGGCCCTCCTGGATGGTGGGCAGGGCTTAGTAAGAAGGCTGGAGGGTCAGAGCTGTTTCAGGTTCAGGGTGACGACTTGGTGACATGGTGGTGATGACATGGTGGTGATGTGGTAGTGACGTGGTGGTGACGTGGGGAACATTTCAGTTTAGATTTGGTTCATTGAGAGAGTTTTGTAAAGATGGCTGCTCACAGTGAGTCTGAGGCAAATGTGGCCAGGCAGAGAATTTGCCCATGGTCATGCAGCTGCAGTGACCCTGCCACTGGGTACACTGTGCTCAGAAGGAAAAGGAGTGGGCGTCCCTTCCCCGCCCCATGACCTCCCACCAGTCTCTGTCTCACTGGTATGGCTCTGACACCACAAGTCAGGACCATGGATAGTTTTCGAAGGCGGATCTGGGGCGGGAGAGATGGCTCAGGGGTTAAGAGCACTGGCTGCTCTTGCAGATTCCCAGTACCCACATGGCGGCTAACAACTGTTTGTAGCTCCAGTTCCAGGAGATCTGATGCCCTCTTCTGACGTCCTCGGGAACTGCACAACATGGATACCCTTCCATACATGCAGGCAATACACTCAAATACGTAAAAAATAAAAACAGTAACATGGGCGTGGTAGCGAATGCCTTTAGTTTCAGCACTCAGGAGGCAGAGGCAGGTGGACGTGTGTGAGTTCAAGGCCAGCCTGGTCTACATAGCGAGTTCCAGGCCAGATTGGGCTACAGTGAGACCCTGTCTCAAAAAGCCTAAAATAAATTAAATAAATAAATAAATAAATAAACAAATAAAAAATAATAAATAAAATAAAATAAAATAAAATAAAACTTTAGAAAAAGGAAGGCAGATCTGACCACAGAGCTTTGCTGTGGAGACTGGGATGGAGACCAGATGACCAAGAGGGGCGAAAAGGGGCTCCCAGAGGTTGAGTGAGAGCCTAGAAGGACACCCCTGTTATTGTGGGGACTATGATTACCTCTGTGCCCAGCACCAAACCTGGTGTCAGCTCTGCCCAACAGTGTTGTCTGTAGGATGTTGTACTGTGGCCAGCTTTGTGCCTGGGGAAGAGAGGCCAGGAGAAACTGGGTGGCTGTGGACGTGAGGACACAGCACGGTCACCTCCAATAGGCAGCTTGAGCGTGTCTGCGGGCTGCAGCATGGTCTTCGGCTCCAGCTATCGGACAGCCTTCAACTCTTGCCCCTGGGTGGCTCTTTCTGCAGTTGGCACTGTTGAGGAAATGCAGTGTGACCCCCCCCCAAAGGAACCATATTGAATCTCTTCTGGCCTCTGGGTGGAGCTTGACCACCTCCAGCCTCCTGACTATGTCTGTCCGCACCGCAGCTGAAGCGCTCTCGGGAGACAGAGGTGCAGCTGAAGCCGCTGGTGGAGAAGAACAAGCGGATGAACAAGAAGAATGAGGACCTGCTGCAGAGCATTCAGAGGATGGAGGAGAAGCTCAAGAACCTCACGAGGGAGAACGTGGACATGGTGAGTCCAGCACCTGCAGTCCTGCTCTACCTGGGCTCCGCGGCCCTGCGTCTGCCAGGCTGTGAGCTCCATCCACTGCCTCCAGAATGCCTCAGGAGTTGATTCAGCCCCCCGCTCTCCATAGCTCTATATATGTGCTGCTGGGACATCTGCCTTCTTTACTCCAAGCCTCAGCTTGTTCACCCTTGAAGAGGGAAGGAAGGACTTAGCAGCCCTGGCTCACACACAGCACAGAAGCTAGCATATGGCAAGCCCTGTGGCACGTGGGGCTCCTGGTGATGTCACCTAGTGGGGACTGCATGTCAGAGGGGTGTCCAGAAAGGACAATTGGGCTTGGTTGTCAGGGTGGTTGTCAGACATCTTCAGGTTCATTATTCAGTATGGAATCACCCATTTTACATCTGAGAAGACTGGGGCCCAGGTGTGAGTGTGGGCAATTCTGTGATGGAGAGCCACCTGTCTGCCTCACCTAGCTTCCAAGCCTCACTCAGGCCATCCCCACCCCCACATCTTTTTCCCTCACCTGTGAGTATCATCAACCACACCTTTGGCTTGGCCTGTGCTGTGCACGCCCTAGCTTGGGACCAGGTGACTGACGTCCCCATCCTCCCATCCTTCCATCCCCACCCATGAGCCCCACTCAAGTTGGCACTCCTCACACTACTGCGTCCAGGGTCATCCTGAAGCACCCTCTCTCCTGCCTGTAGAAGGAAAAGCTGTCGGCACAGGCCTCGCTGAAGCGACACACGTCCCTGAACGACCTCAGTCTGACCAGGGACGAGCAGGAAATCGAGTTCCTGAGGCTGCAGGTTCTGGAGCAGCAGCACGTCATCGAGGACCTTTCACTGGTACGGCACCATGTGACCTGGCAGAGTCGGGGTGGCATCAGGATTGTGGGGTAGGGCCAGGCACAGCTGCAGGCACTGGGTTCCCTGTGATGTTCCAGAAAGCAGGCTGGGCTTGGTTGAAATGAGATCAGTGCTACCTGGGAACGGTTTCCATGGCTACCCTTGCTTCTCCAATCATCTCCTGGTTTGCTGTGGTGAAGAGGCTGCATTGATCAGTTCCAAGGGGCCTTTGAGTTATTAATTTACATTTATTTTTGAATTTAGCTCTTGCAGACCAGGAGTTTGAGCATGCAAATCTGAATCTCCTCATCAGACTGGAGTTTGCAGAGCTGGCTTAGGCTGCATATGGGTTTCATGACTGTTTAGAGTGGATACATTGAAGAGAGAAGGAGGTGGGCCTGCTGTAGGGAAGGGGGTGTCCTATATAGAGGACAGTGTAGGGCAGTACAGTCAGACACACCTGCAGGGCTTCAGCTGGATCTTGGAAGCAGAGTGGGTTCTGCTTGCTTAAGAGGGGTGTGTGTGTGTGTGTGTGTGTGTGTGTGTGTGTGTGTGTGTGTATGGGTTCCATCCATGGCATTTTGAAGAGTAGGAAGCTGTGATCATATTCATAGGAAGAATTTGACCAGAAATAATGGCACCCTATATTCATCCCTTCCTC